CGACGATCGGCGATGAGGATTCTCATCGTCGATCTCGTCATCGGCAGCCTCGTCATCGTCGTCGCCCTACCTCATCCTCACCTCCGCACTCTCCTCCTTATGCCTCCACCTTCCCCCCTTTCTCATCTTCCTTCTCCTACTCCTGATCGTTCTTCTCCTTCTCCTCCTTCTCCTCCTTCTCCTCATTCTCCTCCTCTTCGCCTCCACCTCCTCCTTTGTGTCCCTGGTGTCCCTGGCAGCCGTCGGCGTGATGCTCGCCGCGCCCAGGGCGCGCGTCACGCGGAGCAGCTGCCTGTGCTTCCTGATCTCCGCGTTGTCCTCGCTCGAGCAGGGGGAGGAGGAGGAGGAGGAGGAGGAGGAGGAGGAGGAGGAGGAGGAGGGGGAGGAGGAGCAAGAGGAGGAGGAGGAGGAGGAGGAGGAGGAGGAGGAGGAGAACTCCCCTCTGAAGAACCTGGATCTTCCCGTGGGTCCAAACGCACTCAGTTGTCGCTTGGCGTCCAGCCGTGGTGACGAGGGAGCCCCTGAAGGCCGACGTTGGGTTTGGGCGACTTCGATCGTTTGACCCTCGTCGCTCCCGCGGCCCGTCCAGCTTCGTGGTATACGCCAGCAGCTCGGGCCCCTGCTCCCACGCGGAGGACCACAAGAGCGCCAGCGCGCGGTCGTCGTTGAACGACGGCTGCTTGCCCGCCTTGGCGGCGACGTCGGCGACGTCGACGACGTCGACTTCGTCGACTTCGTCGACTTCGCCGACTTCGATCGTTGTCGTTGTCGCCGTTTCGAGGCAGCAACGACGACGATCCTCCTCTGCCTTCTCCTCTTCCTCCTTCTCTTCCTACTTCCCCTCCTCCTCCTCCTCCTCCTCCTCCTCCTCCTCCTCCTCCTCCTCCTCCTCCTCTCCTCTTCGTCCTTCCTCCTCCTCGTCCTCCTCTCCTCGACTCCTTCCTTCCACTCCTTCTCCTCCCCCCTCTCCTCCTCGTCCTTCCCCACTCCTCCTCGATCCCGCCTTCGGGGGCATGGCCCTCGGCAGCTGGCCCGCGGGGCCGAGCGCGGGGCAGCGCGGATGCTCGAAGCCCGCGCTGCGAGTGCTGCACGCGCCAGCAACGACGACGACGAAAGGGGAAATGATAAAAACAAAAAATAACATCATTCGAAGACTCCGTGAATCAAATGAGGAAATATCATGCAGGCAATGGGTAGTAGTTCTTACATTAGGGGAGATCTAGAGGAGAGAGTTTTTTCGTTGTTGTTGTGTGCAAGCGCAAACGATGCTGCATGATAACCATCCATATGGTTTTATCATGCAAGATAACCATCCATATGGTCATGATAAAATGAGAACCATATGATAGTTATTCGAGACCTCTGGGTCCCCCCCGACCTCTCCCGGGGCGCGTCCTGACCAGGATCTCGAGGCGAAGCCGGCGGTGGCGACGAGGGCCTCCGAGGAGGCCCGACAAAGGGGGGCCAGCGGGCGAAAGGCAGAGGCATGGGCGCCTTGTCCTCCTCCGATCGACGGGCTTCGGACGGCAGTACAGATAGGGACGAGGGCCCCGCGTGAGCCTCGCCGAGGCGAAGTGGTGCCCCCCGAGGCGCCCCGCGCGTGCAAGGGCCCTCTCCAGGGGGCCCCATCCCCGCGCCCCGCAGGGCCAGGTGCCGGCGGGCAAGGCGCTCGCCTGTTAAGTCGGGCTGGTCCCTCTACAGGGGGAGTATTCAAAAATAGTAAAACAAAATAGTCTGGGGACTATTTTTGAACTATATTTGGGAGCATTTGTGGGGTATGTGCTTTATGTTTCGTCCAGAATCCCCCTGTAGGGGGACAGGCCCGACTTCACGCTCGCCGCGTCTCCACCGCGCAGGCGGAGGAGCGGCCAAGCGGACAAGCGGCCTGCAGTGGGGGCCGATCCACAGGAAGCTTGGCTGCCCCGGCGCGCCACGCGCGACACGCAGCGCGTCGATGCGGAGCTCCGCGCGTGGACCGAGCACGGACGTGCTGAACACGGGCGCTCTGAACACGGCACGCGTTACGTTTCGAACACGTGCGTATCAGAGCAGCCAGGACAGGTTTTTATTATTATTATTATTATTATTATTATTTTTTTTTTTTTAGGGAGGAGATGGAGAACCGCCGCGAAGCTCCACAGGCTGCCACAACGCGCCCGCTGCCTGTTGAAAGCGCCAGCCAGGACGGACAAATGCTGCCCCCCCGGGAAAAGACAGCCGCCAACAAGAGGGCAGCTAAGACAGGAACCCTTCCACCAGAAACCCAACCCCGAGACCCCGGGACGTCCACTGATCTGTGGTGTGAGGGCGTCACGCTGTCCATGGCAAGACCATCGAAGTCCAAGAAACTCAGGGCACCCTGGAGGCAGGCAGGGTGTTCCTTGGCCTTGGCAGGGGCCCCCGCTGCAGGCGCCGCGGGGGTACTGCAGGGTGGCGCTGGGGCGCCGCTAGTGGTGAAACAAATGCGACAACAGCAAGACTCGATACATCAAACTGTCCGGAAGGAGGACAAGGAGGGGGAGGAGGAGGCAGACGGCGACGTCTACAAGTGCATTTCCCGCGTTTTGCTTCCTGACCTCTCTCTCTCTCTCTCTCTCTGCCCTCTCTGGTGCGCAGATCACCAGCGCGACCTGCCTCCGCCTCGCCGCGCCGCGTGCAGCGAGGGAAGGCAGCTGCCCCCTCGGGTGCGCAGCGAGGAGGAGGAGGAGGAGGAGGAGGAGGAGGAGGAGGAGGAGGAGGAGGAGGAGGAGGAGGAGGAGGAGGAGGAGAGGAGGAGGGAGGAGGAGGCAGCTTGTGTCCCGGGCTGCTCGGGACGGGCAGCTGTGGGACAGGTCGGGCGGCGATCATGGCCGAGGCCGGCGTCCGCCGTGTGCAGTCCGGGCGGCACCGGCGCCGCACCGCTCGCGCCGCGCGCCCCGCGCCGTCCTGCCGCTGCCCGCGAGTGCAGGACGGCAGCTGCCTGCCCGCCGTCGGCTCGCTTCGTGCCGTGGCGGGGGCGAAGACGACTGGCCTGCTCGGGCCCCCCTCCTCCTCCTCCTCCTCTCCTCCTTCCTCCTCCTCCTCCTCCTCCTCCTCCTCCTCCTCCTCCTCCTCCTGGGCACCCAGCGGGCTGTCTGGCCCAGCGCGCGCTCCCTGCAGGCCGCCGCCGCCCGCGGGTGGGGGGGGTCACTGCGGTCGGGTGGTCGGGGCCGCTGCCGCTGCTGCCTCTGCTCCCTGCCAGGCTCCTGCCAGACATGTGCACCGCTGGGTCTCGTTACAGGGCGGTTTTTAAGACATAGGGTGTTTCAAACTATAGGGCTTTCATACAGGATTAATGCATGAATGAATCTATGCATGAACTCATCGTCGTTTTTAATGTTAGATCCCTGCATTTTTTAATACATGATCCGCACGCGGAGCATGTCTTAAAAACGGCACAGCCCAGCTCCCTCCTGCTTAGCTGTTCGCAGAACAAGAGGCAAGTGTCCTTGCGTGCAGTGCCTTGCTGTGCAGCGGTCGGGCGGCGTGCACGGTCGGGCGGGTCTGACGGTGGGTCTGGCCGGTCCCGAGCCCCCGAGGGGGAATGGGGCGAGGCAGAGGCAGCTGTGGAGATAGTCTGGCGGAGTTCTTGGTCAAGGCTGTCCGCTGGCGGCCTCGTTGCACGTAGCCCTCTGGCTCCGTGCCCGCCCAGACCCAGCATCAGACGTTCGCCGTCGGCGCTACAGTCCAACAGGATAGGTGCCGCACCGTTCGATCTGAAAGTACATACCTTCTTCCCCCCGCAGAGTGCAGATTACCGCCGTTCCTCGTTCTGTGCCAAGGGGAGAAGGTAACTTGCCCACTTAGGCATTAAATGAACTGTGGCAGGCGCAACATCTTGGCCTCCTGCACCACATTGCGAGATGCCAGATTGTCTACCTCAACATGTCTTTTGCTTGCCCCCCTGGACAAGCACCGAGTTCTGCGGTGATCCCTCCTGCCCACCCCAAAAGCGCACTAGTCACCCTGTTTCCGCCGTCGCCTCGCCCTCGCCGTGCTGGGGTGAAGACAGCTCTCCCACCCAGGTCCTACGAACGACCGCAGAGATCGGCTGCGCGAAAGGGCCATCCACTTTGCTGCCAGCTGCTGCTGCCTGCCTACTTCACTTGACTTAGGTGCCCCAGCAGAGCTGTTTGAAGGGGAACTGGGACACACAAATAAATACACACAAATAAAAGGATTCCCCATATCTTCCTATATGTTCTGGGTTTTTGCCCCCCCCCCCCCCCCCCCCACACACACACACCACTTCCCATATTTTCCCAGACTTTCCTGGGAGTCGACGATTAATTGTGTCTGTGTATGTGTGTGTTTTTACCCTCCTGACTGTTGTATCACTCATATGTTCTGCGAGTGACGTGCCGGCCTCCGCTGAGAGGCTCCCGGCTGAAGCGCCGTCGAGATCACGAAGCACCCCTCCATCCCTTCCCTCTCCCTCCCCCCTTCCCTCGCCCTCGCCCCTTCCCTTGCCCTCGCCCTCGCCTTCCCTCGCCCTTCCCGCCCCTTCCCTCGCCCTCGCCCCTTCCCTCGCCCCTTCCGATCGCCCTCCCCCCTCGCTGGGGAAACCAAGCTCCACCGATGCGGCTACTCCCCGGACCTCTCCTGGGGCGCGTCCTGACCAGGACCCCGAGGCGAAGCCAGCGGCGGCGGCGAGGGCCTCCCAGGAGGCCCGACAAGGCGAAAACGAGTCCTCCTCCACCTCCTCCTCCTCCTCCTACTACTCCTACTCCTCCTCTTCCTCCTCCTCCTCCTCCTCCCCCTCCTCCTCCCCTCCTCCTCCTCGCTCTCCTCCTCCCCTCCCATCTCCTCCTCTCCTCCATCTCCTCCTCCTCCTCCTCCCCATTTCTCCCCTCCTCCCCTCCTCCTACATCCCTCCTCCTCCTCCTCCTCCTACTCCTCCCTCCTCCTCCTCCCTCTCCTCCTCCTCCTCCTCCTCCGTCGCGCGCCCCCCCCCCCCAGAGAGGCGGGCCCCCCCCGGAGGC